AATGCCCAATGTTTTAATCAATTATTGTCTAATAGTCCAATTGCCCAAAGCCCAAAATAAAACTTAATTGGATAAATTAGCAATTGGGCTAATTGCTTGTAAAAAAAATAGCACAATCTTAATTAATTGAGTGTTAACTTGAGTTCTATCGGTAGAAAAAAAAATCACGATTATAGAATCCAAAATTCGACTACTCGACTTCCTGATTTGCGTGATTGCGTCCAAAAAACCTTCGACCAATCGACCTTCGATCGTGCCTTGGCAGACTCGTGACCTCACAATCGTTCATGACTTGATCGTTTTGATTGTTGGATCGATCACAATCCTTGTCTCCTTGATCGATTTCAACAATTCTCTTGAAGACTTGAAGCATTGAAGCAAGTATCGACTAATCGACCCTTTGGCCTTTTCTGTCTTTTTTCAATTTCTACACTACAATGAAACAGGTAAGTTCTACTACCAATTCATTAAGATATTTGAAATTGATATGTTTTTTAGAAGTTATTGATTGACTTGGGTGAAATTGATTTGTTTTATTGAAGTTATATTGTTTGCTTAGGTGCAATAGCTATGTTTTTTATTGAATTGATTGTTTGATTAGGTGAAATTGATATGTTTTATTGAATTTATTGTTTAATTAGGTGAAAGCAACTTGTTTTATTGAAGTCATTGTTTGATTAGGTGTAATTGTTATGTTTTTATTGAATTTATTGTTTGATTAGGCGAAAGCAACTTGTTTTATTGAAGTCATTGTTTGATTAGGTGTAATTGACTAATTGTTATGTTTTTATTGAATTCATTGTTTGATTAGGTGTAATTGTTATGTTTTTATAGGTTAAACTAAGTGGTTTTTTTACCAAAAGACAAAGACCTAATCCTAATGAAAGTGGTGAAGAATGTTCCCAAATACCAATCACCAATCAATCAATCCCTTCCGTTTCTAATCCTAATGCAACTCCACAAACACCAATCACCAATCAATCAATCCCTTCAGTTTCTAATGCAATTCCACAAACACCATGCTCTAACCAACCTAATGATAATCTTGACTTGAAAGATCTTCCAAAGGACCCGATGGATAGGCCATTGATTACAAGTTACAAACCAAATATAAGAGATGATGTAAGAAGTGCATATTTGCTTCAAGGACCGTGTCAAGTAAGGGCACATAAGTTTCCTAAAAAAAATAGGTGATAGATTTAGAAGATTCGTTCCTTCATGGTTTGATGACTTTGATTGGTTGGAATATAGTGTGAAAAAGAATAGTGCATATTGTTTATATTGTTATTTGTGTGGGGACCTCATGGGACAAAAAGGAGGGAGAGATGCATTTGTTTCCCAAGGTTTTGATACTTCGAATAAAAAAGATGCATTTCGGACTCATGTGGGTGGTGTTGATAGTTTTCACAACAAAGCAAAAGAAAGTGTGAGTTTTTAATGAGGGAAAAACAAGCTATTAATGTAGTCTTGAGGAGGCAAACCGAAGCAGAGGACCATAAATATAAAGCTCGGTTACGTGTTTCTATTATTGTTGTTAGACTTTTATTGAAAACCGGTTTACCGTTTCGTGGTCATGACGAGTCGGTTAACTCGGAAAATAGAGGGCTTTACATTGAAGTGTTAAAAGCCATTCGAGAGACTAGTGAAGATATTTTCAACAATACTTTAGAAAATGCTCCTAAAAACAATCAACTTATTTCCCCTAATATTCAAAAAGAACTTGTGCAATGTTTTGCACAAGAAGTACTTTTGAGTATTCGTGAAGAGATTGGTCAAGATGTTTTTGCTTTACTAGTTGATGAATCTAGTGATGTTTCAAAAAAGGAACAAATGGCTATTGTTTTGCGTTATGTCGATAGTCTTGGCTTTGTGAAAGAAAGATTCATAGGACTAGTGCACGTGAAGGATACATCTTCTTTGACACTCAAAAACGCCATAAATGAAGTACTTACAAGTAATAAGTTGAGTTTTAGTCAGGTAATTTATTCTGTACTTTTTTGTTATTTCAATTTAATTTTATATATATATATATATATATATATATATATATATATATATATATATATATATTAATTGTTTTAAATTTTAATAGATAAGAGGACAAGGTTACGATGGGGCTAGTAATATGCGGGGGGAATTCAATGGTTTGAAAGCTTTGATATTACAAGAGAATGACACGGCTTTTTATGTACATTGCTTTGCACACCAACTTCAATTAGTGGTTGTGGCTGTAGCAAAGAAGCATGATGGTGTTAGTGACTTTTTTGAGCAAATTTCATTGGTGGTTAATGTTGTTTGTGCCTCGTGTAAAATAAAAGACTTACTACGAGAGCAAGCAAGAGAAAGGGTGCAAAAAGGCTTGTGTAGTGGTGAACTTGAAACCGGAAGAAGGTTAAATCAAGAGATAACACTTGTTCGAGCGGGAGAAACAAGATGGGGTTCACATTTCAACACACTCACAAGTTTGATGAAGTTGTTTGCTGATGTTCTTGTAGTTTTAGATTTTGTGAAAGAGGATGGAGGGTGATTGGCAAACCGTAAACAAGCATCTGGAATCTTAGCATATTTTAAATCATATGAGTTCGTGTTTTACTTACATATGATGTATGACATTTTACACCTCACGGGTACATTGTCAAAGCAACTTCAAAGAAAAGATCTAGACATTTTAGAAGCAGCTTCGATAGTTAGAGGGACAATGGAGGCATTGCAATCTTTTAGAAACATAGGGTTTGCTAGCATTTTGCCAAAAGTATCATCTTTTTGTCAAACACACGAAATTGATACTTTAGATATGGAAGAGTTGTATATTGGTGCGAGAAAACGTAGGACTACAAAGACTAATAGGTTTCATTTTGAGGTAGAAATCTTCAACATTGTGGTAGATATGCAACTTACAGAATATCGGGATCGATTTAGTGAAACAAGCACCCAATTACTAGAATACATGGGTGTTTTGAGCCCTTGTGATTCATTTGCACAATTTGACAAATCAAAGTTATTGAAGTTGGGTAAGTTATACAAGTATGACTTTGATGATTCAGATATGATAGACCTTGAAGGACAACTTGAGATATTTTATCACTCTTGCATCAAAGATGAGCGCTTCACTAGTTTGAAAGGAATTTCCGACCTTTCTCGTTTGATGGTTAGTACGGGGAAGCATCGGTCTTATCCTTTGGTTTATAAGCTTTTAAAGTTGGCTTTGATATTACCCGTAGCAACCGCAAATGTAGAAAGATGTTTTTCAAAGATGAAGCTCTTGAAGACCGACTTGCGTAACAAAATTGGCGATGAATTTTTGAACGACACATTGCTTTGTAATGTCGAGACCGAAGCACTTGCGAAAGTTGAGAATGAAAAAGTAATGGAGCGGTTTCAAAAGATGTCTACACGAAGAGGACAAATTTAAATTTTAATAGATCGTTGTTATATTATGTTTAACCAGAAAAAAAAAATTGTATTAGATGTTTTATATTATGTTTGACCGGATTTTATTTTTAATGTTTTATATTATGTTTGATCGGAAAAAAATTTGTGCAACCCCTACTACTAATTCCTGCATCCGCCCCTGGATATAAAGGTGGACTATGGGTGTGTATGGTGTGTAACAGAAAAAAAATCAAGATCAAAAAACTCTATCGTAACTCAAGTTCAATATTAATTCCTTGATTTTGGGAACCACAAGAGAATCAATATTAATTCCTTGATTTTGGGAACCACAAGAGAAAATAGGAAAGAAAGAAGGAAACACATATGTGTTATAAATAAAAACCCAAAATTGACTTCAATGGTGCCTTAACTTTGTTTAAAATTTATTTTCCCTTACAATATAATAGTCTTTTATTTTTTCCATTGATTGATTGATCCAAGGGTTAAAATGTTGGTTCTCTGGTTCTATGGATAATATTTTGTTATATATATATATATATATATATATATATATATATATATATATATATATATATATATATATATATATGTGTGAAGTGTGTGTGGGTGTGTGTGCACGTGTGAATCTAGTATATTTGGTTGTTTTGTATGTTAATCACTCACTAACTAGTGATTTCTTTTGTTTTATAACCGATAAACACAAGTTTTCGATGTCTTCTAAAGCAATCCCAAGTACAACCCCTTACAGCATAGATGATAGAGGATTATTTTATTTTTTCATCATCTAGCTACTATACATGTCTTTCTTACTTTGTTTCATCTTAGTAAAAAGTATAAACACCCCTAGCTGCCGAAATTCAAGTTGAAAGTACGTTGTTATTAGTTGAATGATATGGCTTGATGTTCAATTAGGTTTAAATTTGATTATTGTTGTTATTAATTGTTAATATATTTTTTCAAGTTAAAAGCATGTTGCTATTAGTTGAATGTTATGGCTTGATGTTTAATTAGGTGTAAACTTGGTTATTGTTGCTTCTAATTGGCTTGATGTTTAATTACCCGGATGCTCTTCATCATCTTTCACCGAGCCTCTCTGAAAACGTCACTTGGTTGTTGCCTACGTTCTCAATCTCCTTGATTTCTTTTTTTTCCTCTACCCATCTTCGATTAGATATGAAGGAACCCACAAAATTTCTAATTCCAATTTATGAGCAACACAACTAACGGAGAGAAGAATTTTGGTTTTCACCCAATATCTCTGTTATGTATCATTATTCATTTTGACTAAAACGACCATTCCATAACCTAATTTCATAATTTTGTTGTTCATTAACTTCGATAAACTCTGTGTTGCTTATTTGTTGGTAGTTGTGAGCTTTTATAAAGATCATATAAAAAGTTGCTAGATGAAATGCATATCAAATATTTGCTAAAATGCCTTAACGATACCATAGGAATTTAGGAAGCATTCTTACAAGTGACGAACATTGTTTTTCTCTTGCGAATGTTATACTCATTAACTCATATATGTATCAGAGAAGAATTTTCGATGATAATGAATATGTGTTCATGAGATTCAGAAAAAGTATGTATCCCATCATTTTAGATGGGACACAAAGGGTACAAAGTTACAAGTTTTGTCCCATACACATTCCTCCTAAAACACCACAAACACAGTAAAAGACATGACACATGTCACGTGATCTAACTGTAACTCAAACACAACACCGTAATGCACTTGTGGTATAAATTAAAAGATTTTAGCGAGCAATTTAAGATCGAGGGGATAAAACAAATCCTCCATATAGTTCGTATCACAAAATTAATGTACAAAAAGCACGGGGGGGGCTCTTATATTAGCATCTGAAAAAGGTTACCTCATTAAGTATTCTTCCCGTTTTTTGAGGACCCAAATATTTCTTCGATCATACTACAAGTCGGCAACAGATCAACACCTTTCGTTGAACCCATGGTGGAGTACGGCGGATCCCAATGTAAATACGATTCCGATCTCAACCCACCACCGTTTACCTTTTCTTGCTCGCTTTCACTTACAGTCTTATCGTCATGTAAATCGCCGCCATAAACACCGACGAGAATATCTCCATGGTCATCGCCGTCTTCACCGAAAGGTCCGCGTTTACTTCCCCACCATTCATCGTCGTCGCTATCAATTTCTAATAAATTCGATCGGTTTTGAACAGCGCGTCTACGAAGCATGAAAACGTTGAAGTAATAACTTACCAATTCCTTCTTTGTTCGGGATCGGAATGCAATCGAGAGTTGTTCCCAGAATCGGCGACCTAGAGAAACGGGATTAGAGTAAACCACGTCTTGAAAGAGTTGTTGTTCTTCGTCAGTCCAGTTATGCGATACTTCTTCCCCCATTTCGTGTAACCCTAAATCGATGAATTTGTCAAGCCCTAGAGAGTTTTTTAGCTTCAATCGGACTTCATTGATGTGTTGTTGAACGCATCGGATAGAACCGGAATCCAAGCATTTACATTCTGTTTCACTCGGAGGTGAATTGACAATTACGCCTAATGAACTTTTCTCTCGATTCTCAGAGAGATTCCTCGCTAAATCTGGATCAAAATCAGGGACATCGGCTTGATGATCTGGCCCAATTGGAACCTGTTTTCTGGGAGAATTATTCAAAATAGATGAATACGTATCATCAAAATGAACTAGTTGTCGTCTTGGCATGTTGAATTCGAAAAACTCAGGGAAAAGATTCGAGGGAAACACAGGGGCGGGAATGTTTTCACGTGAGTGTTCACTGGTTTCAAACTCGTTCGCCATTTCTGTGACAGGATTGAGCTTCTCGGTTTTAATGGAGTCGCCTGTTTGGAAGAAGGTAGCTCCATGTTCACCTACACCATTTTTAACAAAAAGGTTTCTTTTATCAAGATAATGAAATAGTTCAAAGATCTTTTGATGTGTACCCATATTATATTATATGGTGTAAGAATTTATATTTTATAAATTATATTCCTCTTTTCACCTGTAATCCCAAGATTGTGAGATGTTTCAAGAGTATGTTTATCTTCTTCTCCAAATGGATCAGGTTTATTCCCATTTTCAAGATGCTTTGGATGCTTTATAAACTCCTGAAGATCCTCATCAAAAGGTCTTTTGGTTCCCATTACAACCTGAAATAAACCATAAACCATAATGCCCATGAGACTAAATGACCATTTTATCCTTAAGTTTCAAAATAGACCATTTTATCCTTGAATTTCAAAATAATATTCATCTATTAAATTAAAGGAGGGAAAAAGAAAGAAGTACAAATAGATAAAAAGTCAACTGGACTTTTTATAAGATTAAGAGGAGCTTGCTGTAAATAAAAACAATGTGGGATAAGAAAATTTGTAATTGATCTTCAGAAATTGGTATCAAGAAACAAGCGTTGCAAAATAAATTTATTAACACTTGTAACTTTAAATCACAAATAAAATACTACCATTTTTACATATTCATAAACTTCACTTTTCAATTGTAATCGAGTTAAACTTGTCAAGTACACATAATTCAAGCTTTTAAGGAAACTAATTGAGTAACGAGAACTAAAAAAAAAAAGCAAAAAAACAATTTTGAATTATAAAAGAGTTAAACATGCTAGTTATACTTAATTTCAGGTTTCCTGCAATTAGATTGAGTGAGGAGAAAAAATCCCTAATTTTTTTCCTTGAAAACAAACCCTACATATTAACTTGTGCCTAAATCGACAAATTTTCCATTAAAATTAAGGAAAAGTGTAATTAACAAGCAAACTTACCGAATCCCTCGATGAATTTTGCAGAAAGGGCGAGTTTTCGTAACACGAGCGCTTCGAGAACCCTAGAATGTAAATTGGACGAAAAAACTATAAATTAAGAACCGTCGACGTAGGTTAATTTACAGGGATTGAAGGGATCCGATAATAAAAAGGATCGGTGGAGAAAAATCCTCAATCTGAACATCGAAGAACAAACCCTAACCCTAAAATTTAATAAGATAATCGAATTGATCAAAAACTTGGATCAATCGATAGCGGATGGTAGAAATTAACAAATAAAAAGATCAATTTAAGAGGGTAAATGAATAAATAAATAGAAATTGAAGCTTGATCTGAGAGAGATTTCGAAGAACACGATGAAAAGGGGGAAATGGATACGGTTCTTGATTATTGAAGACAACATAAGCGGTCTGGTTGCAAAACCGGGTTCGGAAATAAACCAACTTTACCTCGAGAGAAATAAGCCGATGACACATGTACATCATGTGTTGCATGTTCTTTTGTTTTTTTGTTTTATTTTCTTTTTGGGTTACATACAGTTACAAAAGTAAAAACATTTGTACAATTTTTTTTCCAATATATTCTTTTAAATAAATTTGTTTATCGGACTATTAAAGTATCATAAAGAAATATAAAAGTAAAAAGGAAAATTAGGGGCCGGGGGTTTGGATCGTTCAACATATTAATTTTTCTGATCAATTATGTATCATTTTAAGCAACAACTTGAAGGTTTGGATCGTTTAACATATCAATTTTTTTCAAAATTAAAATATATGTAGGAAAAAATGAAAAAGTTTAATGTTATTTTCACCCACAAAATAAATACCCATGAACCCGAAATTTCCGATGAAAAAGTTTTAAACGCAACAAAAAATGAGTATCGCGAAACATCATAACATGTAAGATTTTCATTACGAGGCGGGTTGGAATACTTTTTTTTAACAAAAAAACATCCTTCTTTTTTTAGAATTTAAGTACTTTTTCTAGTCTTCGTTTATCGTTTGTAGTATGGTTTATTTAGTTATTTAGTTATTTCGTTTATGATTTAATTTATGTTATTGTAGTGTGGTTTCAATTTATGTTATTATAGTGTGGTTTTTAATTTAATGTTATTTTTAATATTGTTCAATAATTTTTTGGTTTAAAAAGAGTATAAGTTAATTTAAAGATTACAAAAATTAAAAAATGTTATGTTTTATTTTATTTTGATTTTTCTACATAACTAAATTAAAAATAGTGATGTGGTAAGTGGGTTGCATGGGTTGTGAAAGATGTTATTTTTATGTGTTGTTGGTTGGAAAATATGGAAGAAAGGAGATGGAGAAAAGCTGATGTGGAGCTAATGTGACGGTGGTCGGGTGGTTTTCACTCCTACCACCCTTAGGAACTTGAACTCTCTCATTGGAAAGAACGATATCCGATAGGAAGAGGAAGACGATAGAAAATTGGAGATTTTAAGACCTTGATTCGTTTTTGAACAATCAATCCTTATGAATCGTATATTTATCACTAATGTTAACTCTTTAAGGAACCTTCTTCGTTTAGTGCTTAAAATGAAGAGGATGACATTGAATGGATGAATCCTCATGAATCCTTTTACAATCGATCTCTATGAGAGATTTAGTGTATATAATGTGTTTTACAAACAATATCTTAATACCCTACAGTCGATCTCTGGTGGAATGATCATGCCAAGACTATGGGAATTGACGCTACTTATGTTATATCTTGGGAAGAATTAAAACAAATGCGCATGGAAGAATACTATCACGGGAATGAAATACAAAAACTGGAACAAGAATTATAGAACTTGACAATGAATTGAGCTATAACTATAGCCTACACATAATGACCTCTCAACTCTGTGTCCGATTTTTGTAACTTCGAAATATAAAAAGATTGAATGATGCATTTGGGTTCTGGTCCCACAAATTCAAGGAATGGTTACGTCTTCAAAACTCACAGTGCCAATGGATTGGCCTACAACTTAACGGATCATGCGATCCATCAAGGAACCTTGAATAAGAAGGTTGATACTATAAAGACTGGGATAACAAGAGGAAATTTGATGGTGATTCCACGGGAAACTCAAGACGATCTTAATGTAGACAAGTACTACCGAAACACAACACCTACAAAAACACTAAAACAAGTTTTGGTGGAAACCGAGGATGTTTTAAATGTGGTAGATCTAGTCATTTCATCAAGGATTTCCCGAAGCTCAAGAATCAAGGAGGAAATGCTTGTGGCAGCGCATTAATAATCGGAGCAAAAGGACGCACACCAAGACTCGTCAGTAGTGACTTGTACATTCCTCATTTAATCGTAAGTCTTATGATCAATATAAATCTTGTTTATCAAGATATATGAGATTTGCATCACTGGGTGATGTAAATATCTGTTGGAATTAGTTCACACTAATAGACCATTCGGATTAACCACTATGCATGATAAGGAAAACTCCGAACATGAGCCTGGAACCCTTAAGGTGTTCAGAGCTGTCATAAAACGAAGTTAACAATCAACTAAGCAAAAGAATAAGATACTTAGATCCAATAAGGACAGTGAGCATCTTAGTCAAAACTTAATAGATCATCTAAGTAATTGTGAAAGAGTTTCACAAGCTGTCTCAACCCAAAACATTATCTACAAGAAGTGTAATTAGAAAGAGAAACAACTATTTGATTGATTTAGCACTTGATGAGTCTACCAAGAGTTTATAGATTGTACCATGAATAGTCTTGCAAGATTCCTTGGTCTTGGAGTAACAAATAAGGTTTATGAGACACTCTATGAGATGTGGAGTAAGGGTCCATCCCTCACTAACACATACGAAAGTCTACGATTATGAGGCTTACGCTCATCGTGAAGCGCTACATAATCTAAGACTTAAAATAGAAATGTGGCATCTCGTTGAAAATCCCAACAAGACTTTTGGGTAATTTTTTTACAAACATTTTGATGTTTGTTGCTCGAAGGGAAGTCTTCTAAGAGAGGGAGCTAATGTCCAAAAGAGCTAGTGGGAGCCATAATGATCTTGATAAGATTCAAGAATAAATCAACGAAGAACCTAAAGTTGGCCCTAGCATTTAACTCAAGGTTGAATGATATATTAAGGAAACTGAAATCCTTCCAAATCTTACTAATAGACTTGATAGAGGATGTCATAGACCTAGTTACATAAAATCTATATTACTGATGAATATGAGTATCTAGTAAACAATAGTCAGAGTATGCCATTTATCGAAAATTATGGCAGTCCCTAATAAGTTGAAAGATAAAAAAGGATATGGAGAGCGAGATTCAGTCCACGTATGCTTGAAACTTGGTTGATCAGATACTTCACCTAAAAATCGTAAGTGTTAGTGAATCTCCAAAAAGATAACAAATATGGATGGAAACAAACACATAGTCAAACCAAGATAGATTGTGAAGAATGTGTAAGCTTATGAAGTTCATTTATGAAATGAAATGAGAATCTCACATAATTAGTTACTTTGTGTCAATAAGAGAATTTAAGTAGTTTGAATTTCGAAAAACGAAGGTAGCTAGTAAGTATGTCAAATCCAGTAGGAGCAATTAGAATCCTTATTTTAATGAGACGATTCAAGGAGTTTGAATTTCAAGAAACAAAGATGAGTCATGTATGTGCCAAATCTAGTGGGATCACTCTTGTCACCCTTGCAATGTATATGGATAATACACAACTCATAAGAAACTATGTTTTAACTTAGCACGTGTAAAAACTTGGCTTAGCTTGGGAATTGTTTAGCCTTGAAATACATGGGAGAAGCAACACACGAACATAACGTAAGGATCTATGGAGATAATCTGAATGATTCAATAGATTAAGCTAAAGTACATAAAATCTTGAGGAAACTCGAGATGCAAAACTCCAAGAGAGTTCATGCTTATAAAATATGGCATGGCACTGAACAATGCTTATTTCTTATTTTTACTATTGAGCTAAAAGGAGTGAGTCGTATCCTACATTCTTATGATAATGGGATTGATCATGTATGACATGACATATACTACATCTGATAACTCGTATTCCTTGAGCATGACAGGTCGAATCAAATCAACTTGGAAAGAATCGACGAATCAAAACCATGTACCTTATCCACCCTGGTAGCATCGATATGTATATGGATTTGAAACCATACTACTGGTGGCCAACGATGAAGCTCGATGTTGCTAAGTATGTAGTTGAGTGTGTGACATGCGCAAGAGTCAAGACTCGGCATCAGAAACCGTATGGGAAATTGGAACCATTACCGGTACCCATAGGTAAGTGGGAGGACATTACCATGGATTTCGTGACCAAATTGCCTAGAACGAAGGGAGGTCACGATAAGATTTGGGTGATCTATGACAATTAGGAATTTCTTGCGCTAGAGATTAGCATCGACCAATGATGATAATAGAACTTTTTCATATTGAAGGAAAAATGTGATCAATTAGATAATAATAGAGTAAAAAATGAGTGACCAAAGAGTTATATCACTTTTAATAATGGTCTGTATATTTGGAAAGTTCAAAACAAAATGATCCCAAGGATAAAAGTGTTGCGAAAATCTGACTCCGATTGGAGGAGTTATGATTTTATAAAAGATAAAAACCAACTGCGTTAATAACGCTATTAACGTCAAAAATGGAAAAGGATATAAGTGTTGCTAAAATCTAACTCCGATTGGAAGATTTATAATTTTATAAAAGATAAAAATCAATTGCGTTAATAACGCTATTAACGTCAAGAATGGCATATATAAATCGGTTGAGCTTTGGATAACATCACTAAAAAGAAAATCGTAGTACTCTGAGAGATATGGACTTTGAAAGGAAAAATGTCAAAAACGGAGTTCGTATGAAGGAGATATGATTTTTATAAAAATATAAAATACGGGTTAAAAATAAAAGTTAAATTTTGGCAACGCAACCTTAAGGAAAGTTGTAGTACTAGCAGAGAGCTACACAAATATATAAAGAGAGTAAGAAACAAGATTCATATAAGTAAAATATGAATTTTTATAAAAGATTTAGAGGTGCACGTCAAGTGCACGCCATGCTCGACATGCACGTCTAACACCCAGATTCGTTGAGATTAGGGAGACGTGGACCATCAGAAGTGTGACATGTGGCAAGCTCTAGATGGAGCCACGAAGCAAGTGCACGTCGCACATG